TAGATAAGCAAGTGAATTCATTTATCATTGTTGCACTGCCTTGAGCTAAATGAAATCACCAATTGTGAGGATTTGCAAAGCTATTGGATAGAAATGAAGTCACAACTCAGAAAAAAGTCATGAATTTTGAGGAATATGAATCATCCTTAATATTGTTATGGCTGTGTTTGGAGTGCAAATTCTCAGCATGTCAGTGAGTTAGGAAGCAGTTTGCCTTAATACTGTGGGCAGAATTATCTAAATACCAAAATGATTTTGAAGTTTTGCGCTGAATGACCGAAATCTGAGATGTTTGCATTCATTTGGCCCTGTGAAAGGACCAGTCTTTTTTCATCAAAGTACTTAAATCAATGGTTGAAGTCAGAAGAATTAAGACATGTTCAAATTGGAACCTTTAATCCCCATCGTTTTGAACAGTTCAGTCTTTGAAATATAACCAATTTATATTTACTTGCTCTATTAGGCTTGTAACTGTCCGTTTTTGTAGGAATAAAGTTGATTAAACTTTTGTAGATGCCTTTGGCATTTATGTTATCCTCTACCTTCTTGGCTAAGTAATAGACTGTACCACTTTGGCAAACATGTATTAGTCACGTGAGTTTCTTTTTAACCTTCCGCCTCACTGTTAAAAAACTTAGCACTCCTGCTCTAGACAGTGCCCTAACCCCTAGCCAAAACGAAAGGGTTACTCCATTGCGCCCGCCGCACAATCTCGTTTGTCGCAATGGACCCTGCGCGGAAGGTTACGCAAGAGCTCCTAGTCATTTTGTATGTGGCTGTTGTCCCGCTCCTTCCGCGCTGGTACTTGATTGTAACAGAAAGTAGTTCCGGTCCGTGTTGTTTCGGTGGAGGAGCCATCGCCGCCATTTCAAGACCGTGAGAGTAGATGGCTAACCAGAGTTCCTAAGGTTCGGAGACTAAGTGCTGCCTCCGCTCAAGCCTCCCAAAGCACTGGTGCGGGAGCTGCTCTCTCACTCCTACCTCTAGAAACACTGCAAGTAGTGGTGGCATTGCAGGACTCAACACACCCTTCTTGCTCTCAAGAAGCTCCAGATGGCGTCTTCCGTGGGCAACGTGGCCGACAGCACAGGTACCGGTGGTCGTACTACCTTGGCAGACGCCCTGTTGTTGTCTTGCGCCGTTCTCTGCCTCTCATCCCCTGCCTTCCCTCCAGCCATCCCCATGACATCAGTGCATTGCTGAGCTTACCGTCGTCTACCAGCATCTAATCGGGTTTTCCGCTGTCGTCTGCTCCGCAAACATTTCCTCTTGCTTCCCCCGCTCTTTGCTTCCTTTCTTGCTTTTCAGTCTCACAAAGGTTCTAGCTTTCCACGCTCTCGGGACGCTTCTGTCACCAGTGCACGCTTAGAATATTTCGGAATGGACTGCGTTGGAATGCCTGTCCTTTGACTCCCCGTCGCTACCGTTTTCGTCCTAAATTTAGCTCACGGCCTCTCTCTTCCCCCTTTTCACATCCCTCTTCATCCCCCTTACTGCCCTTTCTCCTTAGCCCGATTTGGTCCTCTTGTCAATCTGGGGCGGGGGTGCTAGTCTATGTAATCATATCCTCACTTTGCATCACCCAAGGATGAGCAAAAGCTCCTCGGTGTGCTGCAAGTCACCTCCAGAAGAGGGGACATTGAGAAGCACCCCCTGGGCAGTGCCTTACTGGTGTTCCTTCAGTTGAGCAGCCCCAATTTAGATTGGAAATTTCCAGGGGTTCCTTTTGCCAGCGCGCAATTCCACCAGCTGCCCCAGCCTGGATTTCCCACCCCGCGCTCCCTCCCCTCCCGCGGGGAACCACACCCTTTCCTTCGTGCTGTGGCCAGCCCTACGCCCGCTTCCTACCCTTGGGGAGAAACCACCCGTGCCGGTTCTTTGGCGTTGACCACCCTGCGGGCCGAATTCTTGCTTTGTGTTACTTTCTCCCTGTATTCCTCCGCCGCCGCCTCTGGGTCTTCCATTCCATTCTTGAGCTCGGTATCTCTTTATTCATAGGGTGCGTATTTTTTTTTTAAGTTTTCATCCTGCTTGAAGAGTTTGTAAAGCAACTGGAGTGTTAGCTGCCCTTTTCGACAATTCAGTCGAGATCATTTGGTACTAAAAATAAGAAAACAATCAAATTATAGGAGTGTCCTTCAGCTGCCTTTCCCTATTGAGGCTGTTTGGGGCGGGTGGGGGAGGGTGGGGATTGGGCTACAATTCTAAGCTTTCCCATGAGGTTCTTTTTTGTTGTTTTCTTTTTGTTTCGCAATTGAGATCTGTCCGAGATTTTATTTAATGTGTTTGGGGATTGTGAAGTAAGTAGTAGGCGAATCTTCAATCGTATTTTTATCCATGATTGTAGGTAGTGAAATTAATAACTAGTATTCCCCTCCCTCCCAGGGATTTTTAAGATTTAAGGTTTCCCTTTTTAATGTGTTATTTTATTTGAGGGAGTTGTCATTTTAAGTGTTAAATAAGTGGCTTTGAAAAGTTGATAGTTTTGAAATAAGGGGCTGAGAAGGTCTAGAGACTTGTCTGAAATGTAATTTTCTAGTTTAGTTAGAGCTACAACATCCCCCAGATTTGGATGCAAGTCTTTCTGCTTTGTGTTCTGGTCAACTATATATTCTCTTCAGGAAATTGACTTTGCTTTCCTGTATATAGATCACTTGTCAGCTCTAATGATTGGGGGAGCTTGTCTCTAATTTGAACTGGTTACTGTGACATTGGTAGAATTTAAGGGATTTGTACATGGTTTCCCATTGTAACCATCTAGTGAAATTACAGCAATGTATCACTGTTTAAATTAAAGTATTAAGTTGAGACTTAGATGTGTTTCCCCCCCTTCCTCTGGGCTTTATCATTATGTATCTGAATTAAGTCACTGTAGTAGACACAGCAAAGTGCTTTCATTTATTATTCATTCTGTTGCACTTTGTCAAATGGTTTTATATTTTGTTTTCCTATTCTTTAAAAAAAATCATTGCAGCATTAGGTAACTACTTGATTTATATAGGGTTATTTGCAATTTCTTAATCCTTTAGTTAATGTCAGGGCTCTTTGGAAAATGCCAGTGTTAAAGCAGCATGGATGGGATTTAGCTAATTTGGTTTCATCATGAGTATGGGATGGTAGAGGAGCAATATAATCTTGGGTCTTTATTTAAAATGTTTGATGACCCCTTTAAATATATTTGCTCTTGACAGATGAATTCATTTTGTTTATCAGCTGTTTTAAAAATAGCACCTTGACTTTCAGTCCCCTGCCTTATGCTTGTTTCTGATATTGCCCTTAATTTAAACAAATTAAGTTGTGAAGTATACAAAACGTCACTAAAATGTTGAGTTTAAAACGCATCTTGTGTCCCCACCAAGTTAAGAGATAGTTACCAATACTCCTCCCTCCCTGAAATCCCATCTAAAACATGGGAGAAAGTATTAAGTTTCCCAGTATGTTATTCTGACATTATTAAACCGTTGTGACCTTGCAAATCATGTTTTGTATTTTGTTGCTATATGTTAACTGTAAAGAATAATGTTTAGTAAATTAGTGAATCTTTAGATGCTACTTCTGATTTGTAACTTAAAAATGCAAAATATTTATAGCCATAAAATTTAATATTATTTGAAAGTAAATATTTCTATGTACTCTGGGAAAGGAAGTTAATAGATCAATTCTAAAATGTCACTTCTGCACCTGATGTTAATTATGTTAATAAATAATGTGCAGAACACTCTAGTGCTTTACATAGTTTCAAGCGTTTTCATCTTTAAGTTTAATAGACCATATTTTTACATTTTTTGTTTGCATTTCTAACTTTTTGTTTTCCCCCCTCCTTCCCTCAAATGTTTTGATGATTCTCCAGAACCAACGAAACGTATGCTTTCCTTCCAAGGGTTAGCTGAGTTGGCACATCGAGAATATCAGGCAGGAGATTTTGAGGCAGCTGAGAGACACTGCATGCAGCTCTGGAGACAAGAGCCAGACAATACTGGTGTGCTTTTATTACTTTCGTCTATACACTTCCAGTGTCGAAGGCTGGACAGGTAGGAGATGGGGTACCTTCTGGTGATTGCTGCCTCTGGTGCTGAGCTTGAAAAATAATACTTAAATATTTGAACTTGAAATGTTTCCAATACTGGGTTTCAACTGAGCCACCGACACACATCTGTCTTGTACACTTGTGACATGCCCAGCTGCCAGTTTTTCTCCCTCCCTTTGTGGTGGTGGTTATGTTATCAGTATGACTACAGACCTTTTCTAGATTTTTTTCCACTAACTCTGCTGCTTTCTTAGCTCTGTTCAGGTAATAAATATTCATAGTATACATCTGACCTTCCAGCCTCACCTTTGTAAGATGTGTCATCTTGAAGGACAGAATACTCAGAAATGATGCTGTATATGCTGTGGTAGGAGGTTCTTAGTTGTAAAGACCATCATTAAGTTATATGCTACTTTAGATAATCAGTTGAATTAATCAGTTCTTATATCCTTTTAATAAATTGTCATTCTGGTTTATTTAGACATTAAAAGGTGTGTACCAACAATTGGAAAGTGAGACTCATGCACATAGCATTTTCATTCTTGATCTTAATGATCGTGGTTTACAATGTGGCAGTTTGGGAATAAGACTCTAGTAAGAATTTTATCTCATAAGGAAAAAGAGCATTCCAATTTGAAATCTGAATACCTGCACATTTGAAAAGAGTTGATTTCCAAAATTTTCCTGTGTGCTAGTTTAAAGATAATGTTATTGTTACATAATTAGCAATAGCACATTGAGCTGTGTATGGGCCATACCTTCTTTCTCTAACATGCGTACCCCTGCATCAACACTTTTCGCCTTTTTCAGATCTGCTCACTTTAGCACTCTGGCAATTAAACAGAACCCCCTTTTGGCAGAAGCCTATTCGAATTTGGGAAATGTGTACAAGGAAAGAGGACAGTTGCAGGAAGCAATTGAGCATTACCGGCATGCATTGCGCCTCAAGCCCGATTTCATCGATGGTTATATTAATCTGGCAGCCGCATTGGTAGCAGCAGGTGACATGGAAGGGGCAGTACAAGCTTACGTATCTGCTCTTCAGTACAATCCTGTGAGTACAATTTTAATGGTTATTGTTTTCCCTTCACAAAAGCCCAGAAAGAAGTACAGTTTGATACCTCAGACACTAAAATAGGTTTTTGTGTGGAATAAAGTCAAGAGTTTAGAAATGTTTGTCTGCTCAAAATGGTGAAATTGCTTTGATCAGATCTGCATCATGTTTTTTAAAAATTTGTTTTATCTAGCAAGTTATATGAAAAAGCATAAAATTGCCCTAGCCGGTTTGGCTCAGTGGATAGAGCATCGGCCTGCGAACTGAAAGGTACCAGGTTTGATTTCCTGTCAAGGGCACATGCATGGGCTGTGGGCTCGGTCCCCAGTGAGGGACTTGCAGGAGGCAGCCAATCCATGATTCTCTCTCATCATGGATGTTTCTATCTCTCTCTCCCTCTTCCTCTATGAAATGAATAAAAATATATTTTTTAAAAAAGCATAAAATTATCCTTATTGCAAGAAACTCTATAGTGCCTGTAACAGTACAGAACATACGACATTGTTTTTGGGGTTTTGATTAAATTTCGATAAACTCTGATAGGTGTTTGCAACAGTTAATTGGTTTTGGAGGAATAGTGGATGAAGGGCTTTAATCTGTAATATAAAATAGTTACCACTAGATGCCAATATGTGGATCAGTGACATGAGAACTAGGCTGCAAAATTCATTCCTCAATATCCTATTCTCTTTTCTTTCAGCATAATAAGAAATGGTAGAGTTGAAGTGATAGTGTCCACCCCAGGCTATTGGATAGTTCTTAAATTCTTTTTGGTGAAAATTGCAGATGTTTTCTGGGGACACAAGAGTAAGACTTGCCTTCAGAACTTTTGATGTGGTTAGGGATAGAAGATAGAAACTTAAGAGGTAAGTGATAAAGAGAGGAATGAAAGGAATCCAGAAAATTTTAAGAATACATTTCCAAGCTGTGTTGTCAACATTTAGTTTTGCAGCAATCCTGGAAATGGTTTATAATGAACTGTTATAGCTACCATTTATTGAAAGTTTACTCTGTGCTCAAGACACTGTCAGTTACTTCAGACGCTGTTGATCTTACATAATGCTCACAGTGAGCTTCAAAATAGATTATGTTCAATTTTACCAATTAAAAAAAATCCAGACTTGGGTTATGTAATTTTGGGGGGATCACACAGCTAGTAGTGGTGAAGGGGATATTAAAACCTGAGCCTGAATAAAGCAAACATTCAAGAGAGAAGAAATAAAAGATAAAAAGGGGATGATGTGCCCAGAGGGCATGCACCCCTCAAGGCAGCCCCAGTTGAGCACAATTTGAAAACCATTGATTATATCCTGCTCTCCCTTAACCCCTATTTTACAGGTGAGGAAACTGAAAGCTTGATTTAGTAGTTTGCACAAAGATCTGAAATCACTTTTTCTCATGACATCTATTAAGTTATTTTTTCAGTTAATTTTGAGAGTGTAAAATTAAAATTTTTTTAATTCAGCCTAGCCGGTGTTAGTGGATGGGCGTTGACCTATGAACCAGGAGGTCACAGTTCAGTCAGGGCACATGCTAGGGTTGCATGCTCAGTGTTGTTCAGGAGTCAGCTGGTCAGTGATTCTCTCTTATCATATCATTGATGTTTTTCTCTCACTCCCCCTTTCCCATCCTCTCTGCAATCAATAAAAATATATATTAAAAAATTGTTTTTTGTGTGGATACAGTGAAAAGTCTCTCAGCTTACCCTTCTTGGAGGTAGCCAATGAAACCAATTTCTTGTGTGTTCTTTCAGAGATATTCAACGCATATATATGTAAATTTGAGTGCATTTTGTAATTTTTTAAAAGGATAATTCGAATTTTATTTGTATCTACCTTTGACATGTACAAAAACTCTCAGCTCCCCACCTCCTGCATTTTGTAATTTTTATTACAGTACTATCCATCTAGTTACCCACCAAAAATGTTGGCGAACCATGTCGTATTTGCTGCCACTGAGGCTTGGACCCTGTTCTTGCAAAGGTTCAGAGCTCACTTGTGCACCTAGTTGTCACAGTTAAGTTCTTTATTAATCAGGGTTGGTTTCACCCTTCACTTGTTTATTGAGTGTAAGCTCACGTGTGCCCTCTTACACAGCTGTGGCTCCAAACATCTTGAACTTTGATCCCCTTGGCTCAGGTTCCCAGTTACCTACATGTGTAGTAGAGCATTGCTGCTCACAGTATACCGGACTGGAGGAGTATGATGAGGAGGGAAAACTGAAGTGGGAGACAGAACCATGCTTTTCAATATGTAACTTGTTAATAGGAAGCTTATCATTATGCCCTTCCAAAGAAGTAAGATAGCACTAAAATAAATTATGGGACTGCCCATTGAAGGCATTGAGGGAAAGCATTGAATAGCTATGTATTCCCATCTGGTCCAGTTTCTACTAGTGGAAAGTGCTGCTTTATTTCTCTGTCTTTGCCAGTAAGAATGAAAAAGGGATTGTACAAACTGCCTTGATTTCACCTAAATATACCATAGTGATCATTTTTCAATGCATTGAAAGATATCTAGTCTCAACTAGATTTCCTGTCAAATGCCTTTGTCAGTTCAGTACTGACATAATCTTGGAGTCTGTTCTAAATTGTGTTATTGTTGGCAGTGCATTTTTGGCCTGAATCATAGATGTATTTGGCATTCTATGAAAAATACTTGAATAAACTCAGGTTATTTTGGTTTTGCAAAAGTAAAATGTTAAAAGTAGTAATCTTGGTAACTTGTTTTCAGCAGTGTTTACCTTTTTTTATTTTGGTTAATCTGCACCTGAGGGTATTTTTTCCATTGCTTTTTAAATTTAAATTTTATTTTTTAAAATATATTTTTATTGATTTCAGAGAGGAAGGGAGAGGGAAAGAGAGATAGAAACATCAATGATGAAAGAATCACTGATCGGTTGCCTCCTGCATGCCCCCTAATGGAGATCGAGCCTGCAAACCAGGCATGTGCCTGTGACTGGAATCGAACCAACTGCTCTATACACTGAGCCAAACCAGCTAGGGCTTCATTGCTTTTATTAGAGAGAGTAGAAGGGAGGGAGAAATGTAGGAAGGGAGGGGGAGGGGCAGAGGGAGAGGGAGAGAAACAGAGAAACATTGATGTGAGACACATCAATTAGTTGCCTACCACATGCAGCCCTGAGACCTGGCCTGGGAATGAATCTGCAACCCAGGTATGTGTCCTTGACCTGGAATCGAACCCCAAACCCTTTGTTGTAAGGGTTGACACTCTAACCACTGAGAACACCGGCCAGGGCACTGTTTATCTTTTTAAGTTAATGGTATGTCAATTTAGAAGTTATTATGTGACTTGATTATAGAAATTACTTTTAAGAGAGCTATTTCATATTTTTACATTTTGAATTATCTCTTATAATGTTGGATGATTTAATAATTTCACTAAAATTTTAGTCCATTGTATATGAAGGTGCTATTGTAGCTGATGATTTTTCACATAATGGCTCACTAGAGCTGCCCATACCTTGTGATTCCTTTTATGAATTATGTGTAAAAGTGTCCCATTGGCTATTTATAATCCTTAGTTGCTCTAAGTAGCTCTGTTTCTGAGTCTATTGGTTGGTAAACCATTGCTTCTTATTTGATTGTGGATGCATAACACTGAGAGCTACAGGCATGCTGACCATCATGTATTACTGTCACATTAAATGTTACTATCATGTTAATTTTATTGTCGCTAGCTACACTGTATATTTCTATATATTTCTATTCCTCTCTGTCTGCTGTTTAAATTTGCCATGCAAGTGTCATATTTAAACAGCAGTGTGGAGGTTGCCAGAGGATCGGGGGGGGGGTTTGGGTGATGTGCACACAGTACAGAACAAAGATATTGTAACATAGAAATCACCTGAAACTTTTATGATCCTATTAACCAATGTCACTCCAATAAATTTAATAAAAAAATAAGTAAATATTTGAGTGCTTATTGTTTGTACAATGCTTTGTTAGGAATTGGGGAGATGAGTTGGGAAAAGTTGTGGATTATATTACGAGAGACTATCTGACCCATAAAAGATAAAAGGTGTGAGCTCCTTGGATGATTATCGTTAGAGAGTACTAATCAGAAGATTTTCTTGAGTGCTTAAACCTAAGCATTCTGTAGGAAGGTAAATAGCAGTAGACTTCCTTAGCTGAAGTGGTGAGCCAAATATGAAGAAATGAGTGAGGTAGAGAAAAGTCAATTGGAAGATTTAGAATGAGTAGAGAGGCTGAGGAGTTTGAATTTAATTTGATAGGCAGTTGAGAACTGTAGGTTTTTATCAGCCTGATTTTACTTCATGTGTATATGTGTATATAAATGGTGGGGGTGGAGTGGGGTCCTAGGAGGAAACAGATGCTATCTTAGGAGGGGTGGATATGCAGGACATTTTTACTCATTTCCTTAACATTCATTCTATTTTCCCTTGTCTACAATGCTCTCCTCCTTTGTCCATTAGAGTCCTACTCATCCTTTAAGGCCCAGCTTAGATTTCTTTTTGAATTCATTTACTTCTCTAAAATTCTTTACCACCTTGTGGGCATTTAATATGCCTTGTCTTTCCACATTAGATTGCAGTCCCCTCTAGGGTAAAGATTCTATTTTCTTTTCCCTACAATTCCAGGCATATTATTGAATTGAATAAAGGTTTGCGTAAGAGGCAATAACCTGGGAATGGATAGAATTGGCTGGGTTTGAGAAATGTATTCTCTTAGCAGACACTTTTGATTTTAATAAATGAAGCAGAATTGATGTCTTAGGTTTTAAACATTTAGGAGAAGAGTGGTATCCTTGACTTTTCTAGAAATTAACTGTTCATGCATAAGGTTTAGATCCTCAGATGAGAGAGTCAGATTTCACGATATGTTTTACCTTTTTCTAAAATTGCCTTATCTTATTTTACAGTAATCTTGAAGATAATCTACTTTTAACTATGGTTATTGTGCTAATGATTTAGTGTGGTGCAATGGATCTAGATGATATAACTAAATATAGATAGATACACTGTCAAGACTTGGATGGCAGTTATCCAAGAGTTTATAGAAACTAGAGGGTAAAATTATGCAACAGTTGGCTACAATATACAGCCCATTAAGGTCATTGTTGGAGAATTATTGCAAGACTTACTATTATTACTCAGAAAAGAGATAGGAATTGGTAAAAGTCCAAAGCTATATATAACCACAATAATCTGGTGTAGTAGGAACCTGTATGAACAGATCAGATTGTTCAGTCATGGTTTGCAAAAACATAAGGATAACCTTAAAGTTTAGGGGGAAAATCATATAAAGTAGATAGGGAGTTACAGAATTCATTACTTCTGAGAGTATAAATAGGGTTAAGAGTTCTTAGACTGCCCTGGTCAGGTGGCTCAGTTGGTTGGAACATTGTCCAGTACAGAAAAAAAAATTGCGGGTTTGATTTCTGGCCAGGGCACATACCTAGGTTGCAGGTTTGATCCCTGGTCAGGGCACATGTGAGCGGCAACTGATCTGTGTTTCTCACATCAATGTGTCTTTTTCTCTCCCCGCCCCCCCCAAATCAGTAAAAACATATCCTCGGGTGAGAATTAAAAAAAAGTGCTTAAACTCATTAGGGGAGGATAAATGTGTAATAAGATCAATGATATGTATAAATGTTTTGAGAATTAGTATCAGCCTTTTGTACTTGAGGTCACTGGAGACAATTCTCTCCCCAAACACCAATCATTGCTTGATGGGCAGATAGATGGGTAGATCAGGGGACTGACCCAGTATGGCCAACCATAAGGGTGTTCTGTAGCAAGCTATTCTTTGCTGGCTGATTTTTGGTTCACCTGATGGATGATGATAAACAATCACAAAAGCTGTTTATCAGTAAAATTAACCACCTGATTAAAATACATTTGCATATAGAATGATATATGTGATGATACTTTAACACAGTTGACAATTCACTTTCTAGGATTTAATTTAAGGCTCTTCCACCTGTGGAACAGTTTGGAATGATAAACTTACTCCCCATTGCTAGTGTCTCTGCTTGTTGATGGATAGATTTGATTGACAAAGACAAACAAGGACATACAGAAATTTAAACTCACTGTTCTGATGTTTCTTTTCATATTAATGAATGGACTGGTGAGTCAAGATGACTAACAACACAATTATGCTGCTAATAAAAAGCAGAGTCAACTGCTTTTCATTTATTCATCCATTGAACTCTAAATGGCATTTAATACTAATGAGTAATCTAGTGGCAGGTGCCAGGATTGAAGCTTTGATTGGATGGTAATCCTTTTTTCTAATGGTGAAATGAAGGCAGGGTTTCTAAATATGCCTGACAGCATAGGGGTAGGTTAGCTGGTAGCTAATCATGGCTAAATACTCTTTTTTACTATGGAAAATTTTTGGTCTTTAATATGTAGGAGTGATTCATTATAACTGAATAAAATAGTTGAGCAAACATTTGATTTAAAAGTGTTTTTATTGATTTCAGAGAGAGGAAGGGAGAAGGGGAGAGAGAGAGAGAATCATCAATAGAGAGAATTGGCTGCCTCCTGCTCCCCCCTACTGAGGATCGCGCCTGTAGCCCAGGCATGTGCATGTGCTCTGACTGGGAATCAAACCATAACCTCCTGGTTTATAGGTCAACACTCAACCACTGAGCCACAGGGACCAGGATGATTTTCTTTTTAACATGATTGATATTTGGGGAGAGGAGAAGCTATAGTAAGGCCCATAGTCTTTTATCTGAAACTGTTGGGATCAAATGCATTTCAAAATTCAGAATTTTTAGGATTTTATTTTTTATTTTTTTAAAATATATTTTATTGATTTTTTTTACAGAGAAGAAGGGAGAGGGACAGAGAGTTAGAAACATCTATGAGAGAGAAACATCGATTAGCTGCCTCCTGCACACTCCCTACTGGGGATGTGCCCGCAACCAAGGTACATGCCCTTGACCAGAATCGAACCTGGGACCCTTGAGTCCGAAGGCCGACGCTCTATCCACTGAGCCAAACCAGTCAGGGCAGAAAGATAATATCATACATGAAACGCCTAGGTAGGTCTGGAATAGCACCTTCTAGTAAAACACATATTTCTGCAGCAAAAGATATGAGTATTCATACTTAAGTGGGATCAATAAATTCTGTAAATTGTGCCAGTTTTGGTCAGGCTTAATCATCAAATGAGTTTTGGAACTTTTTGGAATTTGAAATTGAGGATGAGGGATTGTGGTTCTATACTTATATTTGTCAGCTTTAGTTGACAATAAATTGGAAGCTAGATGCATAAAAGTTATTTCAAGATATTTTTTAGTTGAGAAAGAGTATAATTAATGACTATCTCTGGGTTTCTAGGATTTGTACTGTGTTCGCAGTGACCTGGGGAACCTGCTCAAAGCCCTGGGTCGCTTGGAAGAAGCCAAGGTAGGTGTTTGATAGAGCACATTTAAACATCAGTGTTATGAAAACTTGTACTTTTTGCCAAGTCTTCAACTCTTCATTGAGCTGTCTTCACAAAACAGTCCTAAGAAACTGAGGAAAACTGACGGCATGAATCGCCTCAGACTAGAGCAGGGCCAGGCTTTGGCATATCTGTTCTAAATCTGGGGGTAAAGCAAGAACCTGAACATCTTGGAGCCTTTCTGCTGAGCTAGATCATCTTTATAACAATGGGCTCCGACATGATCTTTTGTGGGAATAAATAACATTCCTTCAAATCTGAGGCTTGCCTGCTGGTGACAAGCAGAGCGCCTGTGATTTGGCTCAAGACTCCTTATGATGCAGGTGCCATTGAAAATGCTGCTCTTCTAAGTCCTTTGTGGCTTGTAAGTGGAGAAGAACTTCATCCAAATGTTACCCTGTAATACTGGCATTTAAATTCTTATTTAACCTTCCTCCCTTCATCTTCCTCACCCTTTTTACAGTGGAAGAAAGGCTGTTAAAATGATTGCAAATTAATAATTGGAACATCCTGCCCCTTCTTGTCCCCATTCCTTCCTTCAAGTTCCTTTTCCCTCTTTTCCAATCCTAGTTGTCTACTTTTTTTCCTTCTTTACTTCCTTCTTTTATTCCTCCCTACCCCACCTCCTTAAAAAAAAAAAAAAAGTCAGGACAAAGCTGGTTTGTTTGGGAAATGGACTGATCGAAAGAAAACTTGCCGAAGTGGAAAGGTGGCTTTTAGCATTCTGTGTTACCAAATATGAATTTGAACACCAGGTTGGGTTATTAAAGCATTTGGTATAATTTTAAATTAAATTTATAAATGAAATTGTCTTGTTACAAGCCACCTTACGCAACCGCGCTGCAGGGGTGAGGAGTGGGGAGAAACCAGAATGCTTCTGAAACTCCCACCTGTTGCTCTGAGCCCCACGCGCATGCTAATGCGTGGAGTGTATGCGCAGCGTAGCTGTCTGTTTGCCTGCTTTATCCAGGGAGGGAGAAGGCTTTTTAGTATCATCTCATGTTCAAAGGCACTAGTTTTAAGTGCATAGTTCATAAATTCTGCTGACACTTTGGATTAACCTTATGTTGGTTTCCAGCTAATGAATTGTAATTGATTTTAATCTTAGCTGATAAATCCAATTGGTAATTTATAGAACAAATATTTGATAAGCTCCTATTAATTGTCACCCCACCAAGCGGACAGCTAACATGAATTGCACTTCACTGCAGCTTTAGAGATCGGTTTAGGCTGAGACATTGCGCCTGCCTTAGGTTGCTGACTTCTTTATTTCAGAGCTCTGGAGACACCTAGTTTGAAAAATGTTATTCTGTTTTTGTGAGAACTAGTGAACAAGAAAATACTCTTGAGTGAAATGCAATGTATTTCTTTTGTAATCAGTGCATTTGAAAATTCAAGCCAGCATATTCCTAGTAGATGGAAGCAAATTGAAGTTGTCTTTGTAGAAAATGAAGAGCCTTTCTTCCAGTAAAAATCCCTGCTGTATGCAGTAGCCCTGATTAACCCTCTCCCTTCTGCATGTTTCCCATGTTACAGACTTGAGACTGTCCTCATTCCCATATGTAATAGACATCCAAAGAATTTCAATTGCTTTGTTGAACTTTTACTAATGATCTTGTTTTTATTTTCTCTCTTGTTTTTGGTTTTTCACCATTGATATTGTATTTAGAAGGTTTCAGGTGGGTGAAACCTCCTATTCCATGCGTAAGGTGCCTCGCTGAAGGGAGCTCGAGGCCTGGATCTAGGGCAGACACACACCTCCTCCTCTTCCAGCAAGGAACGCACCGAAAAGTCACATGATGAGAAATATGGTAACGGGTTTGTAACTGCCACAGCAAAACAATTTGCCTCCATGCCTGAATCTTCTGTCTTGTGGCTTCAGAAACAGCTTAAAATAATTTTATTTACAAGCAAGTTATGTAAGAGAATGTTTTAAATTATAGCCACAATTCTGTCAAAGATAAGTAAAAGTTAATTGATATTAAAAATTATTAGATAATTTACTAGTAAAAGCTTCTAACTCTTCTTGTTGTTCATTTTTTTCCTTTTTTCTTCTTTGTTTGGATTGCAGCATTCTGCTCTTCTGATGATGCGCTGTGACCCTGCAGTAGCGCAAAGGCTGCGCAGCGTTAATGCGCAATGCGTGCAAATGAGCCCCTGTGAACGGTTGACTAGATGAGTAATCTGATTGACTGGCTCCCTCAGTCCTATTCTGTAGCCTTTTTGGATAAAATTGGGTTTTAACATACTTCAAGTCCCAACTAATCTCATTAAACAAATATTCTCTATGGGCCTGTCTAGTAGATTAATGGATCTGGTTGGCCGTTTGCTGCGTCTAGGGGTGTTCTATGTAGCGCAGCAGTTCGCAGCGATTGCGCAGTGCGATGCTGTTAGGTTGCGCAAGCGACGTTTGCGCTCGCATTACAGGGACCTCAACCTAGGTGCAATCCTGTCATATGAGGTTTCAGCTTCAGTCCCTCTTGGGAGATAGGGACATTGCAAGGATGTAACTTATACCCTGGGTTTATATCTAACTTGGCAGAAAAACATTTTTCTCCCCATAGCATAGTTTTGATGTTATTGTTTAGAGCAGCATTTCCCAAAATGTGTTTTATAGTATACTAATAAAATAAAATGCCCAATGAAAGAAAAGATCTAGGATCAGCTGAGATCAGGAAACCCTGTGTATACTATTAAAGGCTTAGGGAAGTCCTGTAGTAAAGAAACCTGTCTTTCTAATTTATTGGATCATGAAATACTTTTTTCCATTGAAACCTATTAACACCTCAGAGAACACACTTTGGGAAACAGGTGGGGTCAGGGGGCTTGGCCTTAATTAAATGCACCCTCTAGATATCACTTGAAAAGATAACGAGTCCTTAGGTGCTCAGATAAGAGAAGTCTAGCATAGATTCTTAAGGCAGCTGACTTCCCAGATAAGTCCCAGTGTAAGGGCTGGTCATTGGTTGGCAGAACTGAACATGGTGGTTTGCACTTGGGTTCTGGTGGCGCAGGCGCAGGAGCAGCCAGCTGTGGCAGCGCATTAGTTTTGGCGCAAGCGAGCCTATGCTGCAGGGTCACTTTTGGCTGGTCAGAGAAGGAATAATGATATCACCTTCTTCCCTCCCCCCCCAATCTTTTTTTTCCCTGTACAAATTTTCCCCTTTTCCTTTACCTCCTTCCCCTCCCATCTTCTTTCATTAACCCCTCCTAAGGCATGTTATTTGAAAGCAATTGAGACGCAACCGAACTTTGCAGTAGCTTGGAGTAATCTTGGCTGTGTTTTCAATGCACAAGGGGAAATTTGGCTTGCAATTCATCACTTTGAAAAGGTTAGTCATTAAATTAGTAATTGGTATTTATGAAGTGCCCATGTGTACAAGGTGTTTTTAATAGAACTACATAATATGCTTTTACTTAACCAATCACATAATATCTTTGTTCTCTGACAGTATTATAGCATTCGCTGGATGGTATGTGATGTGGTAGTTTCCAGTTTTGCATTGAAAATATATTTTTACTAATAAAAAAAATCCTTAAAAAAATCCAAGCAGCTTTACTGTAAAGAAGCAGGGCTTCTTGGTGAAAAGGCAGATTCCAGATCCAGGGTAAGAAATGTACAAATTAATCTGGAGTGCCTTGTCATACCAGAAAGCAAGGAAGCTTTGATATATTACTTTGTGTATAAAAAGACTCAGGAGGCAACTGGAAGAGGCTTCTACTGGCTAAAGATGGGACTTGAGTATCAGTAGGAAAAATAACAAATATATTAAAACTTGTCAGATATGTTTAAATCCATGAATTCATAATTCTCAAAAGGAATTCATTGATCACCTTTGGAAGATAAGGAGCAACTCATTTCGAAAACTGGTTGAAAAGGGAAGAATAAAACATGTCCTTCCTCCATTGTGTGAACTGGACCTCAGGGTAACCCAGTAGTTGATATGGGAAAGTTTCTCTTTATAGAAATATTCCAGCTAATTAGTGAAGAAGGAATGATAGAATCAGAGTATCACCATTAATAGATTTAGGAATTTATCAATGGCATAAAAGAGACAGTCAGAGATTGTGTACCTTGTGATGGAAGTAAATAATTGCACTAGGGAAGTAGCCTTGCAAAATGAAAGAACCCAAATCTGATTAAGCTTGTAGTTTTAACTACCAATTTATAGGAAATACATGGGACAGAGAAACATGTTAAAGGACATTGTAGGGATGCAATCAGCAAAATCCAGTCCATGAGAAGCTGTATAGGACAGTGATCTGATTTCTTGAACCAATTACAGGAGTAAAAATGGATAGTTAAATTAAACCTTTAATTTTAAAGATTAAAAGAACCTGACAAAGTCATGTTGACAAATTAGATGGGTTTTATTTGGATCCTGAATCAAAACTGATAAGGAATTGTGCCAATGAATCGATACTTGATATTAAGGAATTACTGTCAGTTTTGTAGGTGAGATATTGGTATTACAGTTATGTTGGGAGGAAAAAGTATTCCATTTAGTCCCTGAGGTACATTTTGGAATATTTTCAGATGGACTGATATGTCTGGGGTTACCTTCAAAGTGATCTGGGAAGAGTGGGAGGTAGGTTGGAATTTAGACTAAATAAGATTGAACATGATTAGCCATGGCTAGATAGCTCAGTTGTTAGAGCATCGTCCTGATACACCAAGGTTGTGGGTTTGATCCCCAGTCAGGGTACATACAAGAAGCAACCAATGAATGCATAAATAGGTGGAACAGCAAATCGATGTTTCTCTCTCTCCCCCCCCTCTAAAATCAATTTAAAAAGAAGATTGGACATGATTAATTGTTGAAGCTGGATAATGGAGACCTGGAAGTTTGTTATATTCCTCTGCTTTTGTATATGTTTGAAATTTTTCATAGTAAAAAGTTAAGAGTTCTGGGGGTGGACATCTATCACTAGAGACAATCTAAGTTAAGTGCATCACTTTACTATATAGTTGGCATCTAAGTGAAAAGGAAGTGTTCTTTATGAATCTTTAATGTATTCACAGTTACTTACTACCTTTACCTTTTCACTGTTTCAGTTAAGGTTTGCAGTTATTACACCTCTCCTGCTCAGTGATTGCCTACCTTGGTTGCACACCAGGACATCCATATAAAATATATGGATGCCAGGACATATCTTTTATATGGATGTCCTGGCCCTGTCTTCAGAGGGTCTGATTTAACAGGCCTGTGATGAACCAGGCACCTTTTAGGTGAATTCTTATTATACTGCCCAGGTTGAGAATCACTGCTCTAGATATATCTGGCATATTTTAAGATAACTTCAGAACTATCTGGATGAGACCATTTAATGGTTAGTTTCTTCTTTAAGTAATGTATCTTATTGAGTATACAACTCTAATTACATAGCTTGCTAAGGTCTTACTTAGTATATAATTGCAGTTACTGAGATACATATATTCTTTTTCAGTTAGAGTTCGCTGCTTCTTCCTGTCATTATATAAGATTTAGGCTGATTAATCATTAATAAAATAGGGCCAACCATTAGAAGTATTCAGAAAAATGAAATTGGAGTAGTCCCAATTGAAAAAACTTCCCTTCAGGATACACATTTTTTTATATTACATGAGAAGTTATTTGATAACATTGAGATTTGTGAATAGGGAATAATGAGTAGGCACTAAAATAATTGGGTTTTAAAAATAAATAAGATTTAATGCAATAGAAAATATAATTAGAGGTCTCAAATGTTCTCAATAAAAATTCTTAATTGGGAAGTGAATCTGAAATCCTAACTTGCGCTAAGTAACTACTGTCTTGTAACTTTCAGGCTGTCACCCTCGATCCCAATTTTCTGGATGCTTATATCAATTTAGGAAATGTCTTGAAAGAGGCACGGATTTTTGACAGGTGAGAGTATGTTCTATTTGATAATTTTCTTGAGAGCTTAGACTGAAATTATGACAGGGGTCTATTGAAATACATTTTCCTTTTCTAGTATGCTGCTTTTCCCTGATCAGGTCTGCTGGTTACCTTTCATTTATAGGTATTGTTGCCTGACTTCATTGTTGGCTTTCCACAGAGCCTTTATCCTCACTTTGGAGTTCAGTTGAAATTTTATTGAAAAAATATTGAAATGGTTATCTTTTAGACTAACTTAGTCCTTTGATCTGATTCAGAAAGCTAAGTAAATCCTGACTTTTTTTAGTTGTTGTCAAAGGAAAGTCTATTTCTTAGGTGGGAATAGAAAACTTTTCCGTGTAGAAATATATTTTATAAAGGTGCAATTTTGATTTGAGGTTAACTATAGTATAGCATGAATTAATTGTAACTAATTACAATTAATTGATATACTTATGTATAGTATAGCATGAATTAATTGTAACAAAGCATCCATTAAAAGTTAGTCGCATTTTGTGTGTGTGTGTTTTTATTTACAGAGCTGTGGCAGCTTACCTTCGTGCTCTAAGCTTGAGTCCAAATCATGCAGTGGTGCACGGCAACCTGGCTTGTGTATACTATGAGCAAGGCCTAATAGATCTGGCAATAGACACCTACAGGCGAGCTATTGAACTGCAACCACATTTCCCTGATGCTTACTGCAACCTAGCCAATGCTCTCAAAGAGAAGGGCAGTGTAAGGATTTTTATTCAGTCTATTTCTTTGTTATGTGGGATGATTGAAAAAGTCTTTTTTGTACATATTGTATTAAGTATTGTGGTGATAAATTGTTTTCCTTCAGAGTTTTGGTTGAGAGGAAGAAGAACAAAAATATTTTCTGGAATCTTACTAGCCATTAGGCTTAACCAAGCAATTATTAGAATAATATTATTGGTACTTCTATGATTTGTCTGTATGGGTTTTGAATAGTTTGCTTTGTTTTCTAGGTTGCTGAAGCAGAAGATTGTTATAATACAGCTCTCCGGCTATGTCCCACCCATGCAGACTCACTGAATAACTTAGCCAATATCAAACGAGAACAGGGAAATATCGAAGAGGCAGTTCGCTTGTATCGTAAAGCATTAGAAGTATGTTGAGGATGGTGTGGCTGGGTATTTTGTCAGTGTGATAGTAGAAGGAAGGCTGTTAAGTTTGCCATGTTAACTACCTCTTTTGTAAAAATAGTGGTTGAATCATTCATTGAACCGGTAATTGAAAACCCAAGGTATGAGTGAGGTCCTGTGTGACATTTAAAAATTCCCTACATTGAGTTTCTTTTATGGGTAGATGAGATCTGCATAGAAAAATAGAAGAGTAAGCTACATTATAAGGGATGTTACCACTTAAGTATATAATTTTAGTGCCTGATGGCTGTAATGGTGGTTAGTAGGTGTGGTAAGAGTTTGGAGCTGAGAGATTTTAGAGGAGAGAGATGCTGGAGTGATCATCATAAACTAAGATGAAGAAAGGTCTATCTCATTATGTTTTGAAACAAGGAGAGGTATAAAATAAAGGAAGAGGTAGAATTTGAGCTCCTTGGCTTTGGAGTATGACTAGGCTTTGAGAAACTGGAGAGAAGTGCAGGGATATAGACTTGAACAAAGTTCCTGTGGTAAGTCATCACTGTTGTTTTAGCAGGTTTTTGAAACTCAGTTTTCTTGACTCTTTATAGGTCTTCCCAGAGTTTGCTGCTGCCCATTCAAATTTAGCAAGTGTACTGCAGCAGCAGGGAAAACTGCAGGAAGCTCTGATGCATTATAAGGAGGCTATTCGGTAAGATGCTCACAGCCTTTATTTTTCTTTCTTTTAAACTTAAATATTTGGCATTTGGCATGTGCTACAATGATAACAGATTAAATTCATATTACAGGGGGTTAAAGGTGTTTGTACCTGATAAAACCTGTGTTCTCTTCTTTAGAATCAGTCCTACCTTTGCTGATGCCTACTCTAACATGGGAAACACCCTAAAGGAGATGCAGGATGTCCAGGGAGCCTTGCAGTGTTACACCCGTGCCATTCAGATTAACCCTGCATTTGCAGATGCCCACAGCAATCTGGCTTCCATTCACAAGGTACTCCTGTTTATTGTAATATGTACATCTTAGCATGTAATGTTTGATTTTGGGACAAAATTTAGCCATTTCACTATTTATTTCCAGGATTCGGGAAATATTCCAGAAGCTATAGCTTCTTACCGCACTGCTCTGAAACTTAAACCCGATTTTCCTGATGCTTATTGCAACTTGGCTCATTGCCTGCAGGTAAAGAATAGCAAGCCAATAATTGGCTTTCCATGTTGTAATCACTTTTGTATCGTTATGTACCATGTTAATCAAAGCCTGCCTGGAGACAGTGTTTTTTTTAAATGGTTATTTGACATTAGGCCAAAGACATATAAAATGTTAAATCTTGGAAAAGGGTTTTCTGTATAACTTATTTTTTTGCCTTCTCTAGATTGTCTGTGATTGGACAGACTATGATGAACGAATGAAGAAGTTGGTCAGCATTGTGGCTGACCAGTTAGAGAAGAATAGGTTGCCTTCTGTACATCCTCATCATAGTATGCTATATCCTCTTTCTCATGGCTTTAGGAAGGCCATTGCTGAGAGGCATGGGAACCTCTGCTTGGATAAGGTGCGCCTCTTTTGTTTTAATTTTTTTGTTGTAAAATACATACAGAAACTACATCAATCACACGTGTTGCTTGGTGAGTTACTGTAAGGTGAACACTACCCAAGTTGAGAAATGAAACTTTGTCAGCCACCCAGAAGCCCCTTCTATTGTGTCCTGTTTCAGTTAGAACCCAGCCCATCCCACAAGGTGGAATTCTTAAATGAAATACTTACAATAAATTGTTGGTGTTTTCCTTTAATTTGAAAACCGTAATGTTCATTAGATTCCACATATAAGTGAAATCACATGGTATTTGTCATTTTCTGACTGGTTTATTTCACTTAGCATGATATTCTCGAAGTCCATCCAATGAACAAAATAAACAAGCAAAATAGAAACAGGCTCATAGATACAGAGAACAGACTGACAGGTGTCAGAGGGGGTGGAGATTGGGGGGATGGGTGACAGAAGGAGACTTTACTTTGGGTGGTGAATACACAATACAATATAAACTTGATGTATTATAGAATTGTACACCTGAAACCTACATAAATTTATTAAATGTCACCCAAATATTTCAGTAATAAAAGGAAAAGCCATAATGTTTAATAAAATGTTGATATTTTATACTCACTTTTGAGAATTAGAACACTATATACTTGATCAAAGGTGAGAATTCGCTTGGCAGAATATATTGGACTGCAAAATATAATTCTACTTGTTTTTTTAAAATGCTTCCCTACACAATTTTCTAAAATGCAGGGTTTGTCATGCTCTGTCTATACTGCCTCCTTCCTACAAATTTTAGGTTTGCTCAGGCTGTTTCTGAGGGAACAGGTGAAAGTATGAAGTATATTATATAAACTACTAAGATTGCATTGAACTGGCTATATGAATTAAATGAAGTACTGTGTGTAAACCATTCCTAACAGGAGTGAGGTGCAGATTTGGTGGTGTGTTTTTAAGTCATTTTTTCTAGATGAAAATTTCTAACAAGTATTGGATTCCATTGGTAGATTAATGTCCTTCATAAACCACCATATGAACATCCAAAGGATTTGAAGCTCAGTGATGGTCGACTGCGTGTAGGATATGTGAGTTCTGACTTTGGGAATCATCCTACTTCTCACCTTATGCAGTCGATTCCAGGCATGCACAATCCTGATAAATTTGAGGTAAGATTAGTGTTTCCCTGGAGTCACTATCTATATATCCTATCTAATAAAAGAGAAACATGGTAATTGGCGTACGACCGCTACCCTTCCCATTGGCTAATCAGGGCGATATGCAAATTAACTGTCAGCCAAGATGGCGGCCGGCAGCCAGACAGCTTGAAACTAACATGAGGCTTGCTTGCTTCAGTGACAGAGGACTCCAACGTTCCTCGCCTGCCGCTGCAGGCCTCTGAGCCTGCAGTTTCAAACATTGTAACAAATACAGACGCTAAACAAAACCCCAGAAACCAGCTTTCAGCAGGCTGGGATCTCAGAGCTGGAGTTGATACAGAGTTTCGATTGTAGAACCGAAACAAACCAGATACTTGCTTTCAGGAGCAGAGGCCTAAGAGCTGGAGCCTCAGAGCTAAAGCTGGCCCAGAATTAAAAAAAAAATAGAAAAAAAGGAGCAGTTGGGAGCTTCAGTCTCAGCCCGAAAACAGCCCTCAGCCCCTCACCCAGACTGGCCAGGCACCCCAGTGGGGACGCCCACCCTGAAGGGTGTGTGACCAGCTGCAAACAGCCCTCAGCCCCTCACCCAGGCTGGCCAGGCACCCCAGTGGGGACGCCCACCCTGAAGGGTGTGTGACCAGCTGCAAACAGCCCTCAGCCCCTCATCCAGGCTGGCCAGGCACCCCAGTGGCGACCCCCACCCTGAAGGGTGTGTGACCAGCTGCAAACAGCCATCATCCCGTCATCCAGGCTGGCCAGGCACCCCAGTGGGGACCCCCACCCTGATCCAGGACACCCTTCAGGGCAAACCAGCCAGCCTCCACCCAAGCACCAGGCCTCTATTCTATATAGTAAAAGGGTAATATGCCTCCCAGCACTGGGATCAGCAGAGCTGAGGCCTCCCGGCACCGAGATCAGCATGGCAGGGGGCAGCGCCCAAACCCCCTGATTGCCCTGCAGCTCTGTGTGTGACAGGGGGCAGGGCCACAACCTCCCTATCAGCCCTGCTCTGTTCATGACAGGTGAAGGCGCCCCAACCCCCTGATCGGCCCTGCTCTGTGCCTGATAGGGGGGAGCTCCCCAAACCCCTGATCACCCTGCAGCTCTGTGTGTGACAGGGTGCGGCGCCCCAACCCCCTCACCCCAAGGGTCCTGCTCTGTGTGTGATGGAGTAGAGCCATAACCTCCCCATCGGCCCTGCCCTGAGTGTGACAGTGGCGGCACCCCAACCCCCTGATTGGCCCTGCTCTGTGTGTGATAGAGGGCGGTGCCCCAACCCCCTGATCCGCCCTGCTCTGTGTGTGACAGGGGGCGGTGCGCCACTCCCCTATCGGCCCTACTCTGTGAGTGACAGGGGAGCTCCTCAACCCCGTGATGGGCCCTGCTCTGTGCGTGACAGGGGGGAGCTCCCCAACCCCCTGATCGGCCCTGCTCTGTGCGTGACAGGGGGCAGCGCCCCAACCCCCTGATTGGCCCTGCTCTGTGCGTGACAGGGGGTGGCGCCACAACTCCCCAATCGGCCCTGCTCTGAGCCCAACCAGGGGCTGCACCTAGGGATTGGGCCTCCCCTCTGCCACCCGGGAGCAGGCCTAAGCCAGCAGGTTGTTATCTCCCGAGTGGTCCCAGACTGCGAGAGGGCACAGGCCGAGCTGAGGGACCCCCCCGCCCCCCCAAGTGCACAAATTTTTGTGCACCAGGCCTCTAGTGTATATATATAAGTCCAGCGCCCAAACAGCAGAACGACCAGAACGACTGGTTGACCAGTCGCTATGACATGCACTGACCACCAGGGGCAGGTGCTCAATGCAGGAGCTACCCCCTAGTGGTCAGTGTGCTTCCACAGCAGAAGCAGCTGCTCGGCTGACCAGGATGAGCGGCGCTCCCACAGTGGGAGCAGCCACTTAGAGGGTGAGTCCACAGCCGCTCAGATGACTGAGATGAACTGAGTGGCGCTCCCACAGTGGGCCGATCCCCGCATGCCATACCCCCACCAGTGCTGAATCCGTGCACTGGGCCTCTAGTTTGTTGGTAAAATAAACCAAACAAACCCCCCAGTGGTGGCTTTATTGTTACCATTAGATGTTAAGCCCAGTGTTTTTTTGGAAAGATTGGAGACAAAGTTATTAAATATGCTGTGGTGCTCTCTTTTCAGGTATTCTGTTATGCCCTGAGCCCTGATGATGGCACAAACTTCCGAGTGAAGGTGATGGCAGAAGCCAATCACTTCATTGACCTTTCTCAGGTAGGTGAAATGCTTGCACTTCTTTTTGTCTTGAGTAAATAGTGAATAAAACTATTCTCATATAGCTTGTAGTTTTCGTGACAAGTATTTAACCTCAGGTACTACCTATGGGCAATTGCTTTGATCTTATTTCCTTAATCTTATTTCCTTATAATCAGCATGGATTTTGCTGAGGCTGCAAATGAATTGGAAATGTAGCATGTTTGTGCTTGGACATAAAACTTTTCTGGGGATTCAGTCAGCACTTGTGACAGTAGATACTTAATATTAATTGAATGAATTGAACAAAATGGTGACTTGGAAGAAGAATAAATAGATCATTTTAAAAATGGTTCCTTTGGCCTTGGCCAGTGTGCTTAGTAGTTAGAGCGTCGGCCCTCACACCAAAGGATCACAGATTCAATTCCCAGACAAGGGCAAGTACCTGGGTTGCAGGTTAGACTTCTGGGTCCCCCAAGGTCGGAATCATATGGGAAGCAACTCTCACATTGTTGTTTCTTCTCTTTTTCTCCCTTCCACTTCCCCCGCCCTTCTCCTCTCTAAAATCAATGGAAAAAATATCCTCATCCTCAGGTGAGGATTAACAACAACAAAAAAAGATTGAAGCCTGTGGGGGAATTAATTTACTAAGGGTATAGACAAGAGTTATTTTTTATAGACTTTATTGACCACTTTGGTGACTAATAGTGATACCCAATATATAGTATATGTAGTAATTTGAATATGAGTCTTTGAAGTCTTAGCAGGAGGGTTGTGAGACTTGTCATTTAACTTAATATTTACCAACATCTTTTGCAAGATAGCTGTTGTTTTTAAAGTATATCTTGATGAAGAGTTGGACTATGTGACTGAGAATCATACTGCCCTCCACCTTTGAGGTCTAAAGAGACTCACTGCTTATTGACTGAAGTCTAAACTCTTCAGTGTGGCCTTCACAACTTGGTTTGCCAATACTTTTCACCCACCGCTCACCCTTATGTATACCTATACCAGTGGTTGGCAAACTGCGGCTCGCGAGCCACATGCGGCCCTTTGGCCCCTTGAGTGTGGCTCTTCCACAAAATACCGACTTCTGCGCATGGGCCACGAAGTTTCAATCACACTGTACATGCGTGCCCGCATGTGGTATTTTGTGGAAGAGCCACACTCAAGGGGCCAAAGAGCCGCATGTGGCTCGCGAGCCGCAGTTTGCCGACCACTGGCCTAGTGTAATCAGTACGATTGCTTCATGGTAGCTTAGCCTATATACTCATAAATGAATAGTTATAAAATTTTTGTGGCATGCAGTATTACAGTCATATTCAAATCAGTATTGGAAACGTTGCATTATTAAAAAAACCACTTACCTTAATTATAGGCTGATAGGCATATGGTAATGTAATTCTTTGAAAGCAAAGTTATAAAGCAGTAAGTAAACAAATCCATTCTCAATTTAATACTAAATATCACTCACCTTATGCCTATTTATGGATAAACTATCCACTTCCATACAAATCTTGCACACCATATTCTATGTTGATGAATATGTAGGCAATAATGACACAAAAGTATCTTATGCAATTCTTGTCATTATTAACTGTACAGCAAGATAATTTACTATTCATTAAGTAGAAGTGGAACCATAAAGGCCTTCATCCTCATATTCACATTGAGTAGGCACTGGTGGAGGAGGAACGGGATGGGTTGGTTTCGCTGTCTCCAGTGGTAGAGGTAGAAGGGGAGGTAGGAGAGGCAGGCATACTTGTAATTTTTCAGAAATACATTTGTAATTTCTGTCTGCAGTTTTGCTTTTTCATTTCGCTAAAAATGTTTTACAGGGTACCCAACCCTTCCACTATTTGCTTTAGTTTTAGTGCCCGTATCATAAAAGGGATCATGTTGTAAAAGAAGTCAAAAGCAGTCTTGAATAATTAGAACCCAGATTGCCTGATGTCAGTTTGTTTTCTGGCACTGGTTTGGAAGCACTCATCTCTATCAGGTCATCTTTTGTTAATTCTTCTGGTTTGGTGCCTATTAGCTGTTTAATTTCTCTAATATCCATATCTTGAAATCTTTCAGCCCCCTACCCCCATTTTATTTTGCCATATTCACAGTCTTTCATGATTTCCTTGATTGGCTCTGTCATGAATCCTGTGAAATCATGCACAACATCTGGACACAGTTTTCTCCAGCAGGAATTTATTGTTTCAGGCTTGATGGCTTTTATGGCTTTTTCTGTGACAATGGCATCTTCAGTGGTGTAATCCAGGGGTCCTCAAACTACGGCCCACGGGCCACATGCAAATACAAATATTGTATTTGTTCCCGTTTTGTTTTTTTACTTCAAAATAAGATATGTGCAGTGTGCATAGGAATTTGTTCATAGTTTTTTTTTTTTAAACTATAGTCCGGCCCTCCAACGGTCTGAGGGACAGTGAACTGGCCCCCTGTTTAAAAAGTTTGAGGACCCCTGATGTAATCCTTCCAGACATTCACAATGCTCTCTCAATTGGGGGTCTCTTCCATAGAGTTGACAAATTTTTCCATAGAGTACCATGTTTAATGAGCCTTAAAGGTCTTTATGACTCCCTTATTTAGAAGCTGACTTAGAGACATTGTGTTTGGGGGCAAGTAGTCCATTTTGATGCCTTTGGTGTTGAATTTATGGGGTTCTGGGTGGTCAGGGGCATTGTCCATATCAAAAGAACCTAAAAGGGAGTCCCATACTGGCAAGGTACTTAGGATTCTCATAGTTCAGGTCTTCTTGTAAAACCAAAAGACTGATAGCTGGTGTTTATCTTTTCCCTTCAGGGCTGGGGGTAAAGGGGTGGGGATGGCTGGGAGGGTAGCAGCTTTGTAGATAAGGGCATTCCTGACCATACACAGAACTGCAATTGCACAAAACAGAGTTAGCCTATCCCTTCCTGCTTTTTAAATTCTGGTGCTCGCTTCTCTTCCTTACTAATAAATGTCTTTTGTGGCACCCTCCCTCCCCCCGAAATAGGGTACCTTCACCTGCATTATAAATCTGTTCAGGCAGCGATCTTTTTTCCTCAATGATCTTAATGGCATCTGGGAACTTACCTGCTGCCTCTTGGTTGACAGAAGCTATTTCTTCCATTGTTTCGACAATTTTTAAAATATTTTTATTGATTTCAGAGAGGAAAGGAGAGGGAGAGAGAGATAGAAACATCAATAATGAGAAAGAACCATTGATCAGCTGCCTCTTGCACACCCCACACTGGGGATCGAGCCCTCAACCCAGGCATGTGCCCTGAATGGAAATTGAACTGTGACCTCCTGGTTCATAGGTTGACGCTCAATCGCTGAGCCACACCGGCCGGGCTGTTTTGATATTTTTAAGCCAAACCTCTTTCTAAAATTATCAAACCATCCTTTGTTAGCATTACTTTCTTCAGCTTTAGACCCTTCACCTTCCTTTTGCTTGAGGTTGTCATACAGTGACTGCTTTTTCTTGAGTCATATAAGTCTGTAAGTATCCCTTTTTTTTTTTTTTTTTAAAGTCTTTTTTTTTTTTTTTTAAATATATTTTATTGATTTTCCACAGAGAGGAAGGGAAAGAGATAGAGAGTTAGAAACATTGATGAGAGAGAAACATCGATCAGCTGCCCCCTGCACATCCCCCACTGGGGCCGTGCCCGCAACCCAGGCACATGCCCCTGACCGGAATCGAACCCGGGACCCTTCAGTCCGCAGGCCGACGCTCCATCCACTGAGCCAAACCGGTTTCGGCTAAGTATCCCTTTCTTACAGCAGTTTGGCACCCACATCAAAGTTGCATTTTCAGTGCAAGATAGAAAGATACTTCACAAAAGTGCAAGGTTTTTTTTGAGTCTGCTGGTATAGCTTCAGAGATGCTTCATGAATTTCCTTTTTTTTTTTTATAATGGTACTTACACTGGATTCATTTATCTTTTTTTATTTTTATTTTTATTTATTTATTTTTAATATATTTTATTGATTTTTTACAGAGAGGAAGGGAGAGAGATAGAGAGTTAGAAACATTGATGAGAGAGAAACATCGATCAGCTGCCTCCTGCACATCTACCACTGGGGATATGCCCGCAACCCAGGTACATGCCCCTGACCGGAATCGAACCTGGGACCTTTTAGTCCGCAGGCCGACGCTCTATCCACTGAGCCAAACCGGTTTCGGCTGGATTCATTTATCTTGAACCTACTGCAGTAGACCTCAGATATGGTGGAATATACCAAGCAATTCAACTTTTTCTTGTAGTGTCATGACTTTTCTTTGCTTCTTGGAGCACTTTCAGTATCACTAGTGGCACTTTCTGTGGGTCCCATGTGTTATTCAAAGTTTATGGCGTTTCACTAAACACCATGAAAAGTATGGGAGAACCGTGAGAGATCACAGTCCATACACTATTTACTGGAGAGATGAACTGCTCACACAGAGATTAGCAGCATCACATGGCGTTTTAAGCAGATAAAGCAGTTGCGCTCACTGCAGTAGCAACAGGAGGGGGGCTAGGAAATTATTATAGTAGTACAGTATGTACCACAGTTAATTTTATGCAGTTATGATGTAATACCACATCTTTGTTTATTTACATTTCTATCAACTGCAAATAGTCATATATGGTCTGTAAGTAATAAAATTTTGATCAATTTTAACTTTTATAATAGATTTTTATACATTTTTATGGTAGTAAATGATGAAATAGAAGTTAGTATCTGTATATGTTTTATGCATTCACAGTATTACTTTTTTGTGTGTTTTTTTTTCAATAGTTCTAGGCTATGTAATTCATCAGTGAGTATTTTCAAACTGTCACAGATCTCCAACAATTTTTGCAGTATATTTATTGAAAAAAAAACTGCACTGTTCAAACCTGTATTGTGCAAGAGTTAAATATATTCTGTTTCTATAATGCTTTGGGCCCATTTTAATGGCACTTAACCATATTTTTACCTGCATTAATATAATTTGTGTTCTTACTTTTGCATCTAGGAATCTGAATTCTGTTTAATGCCAATAAAACTAATTGAATTAGTCTGAGATTATACCTAATGAGTTCTTATTTTTTTATTCCATAGATTCCATGCAATGGAAAAGCAGCTGATCGCATCCATCAGGATGGTATACACATCCTTGTAAATATGAATGGTTATACCAAGGGTGCTCGAAATGAACTCTTTGCTCTCCGGCCAGCTCCTATTCAGGTAAAGGAATTAATAATTGCTCACAATGTTTATTGGACTAAAAAGACAGTAATGTGCTTTTTTCCCCTCTGGCTACCTGACATTGGAAACAATAGAGCAGACATACCTGACTTAAGGGAAAAAAGTATAGTTCTTGAAAGGCACAGGGACAGCGAATTTTGAGTGTAGAACACAATGCCCACAGTACATGGATACAGAGACATGCATTTCATAGTTGGGTATAAATAGTCTTTTGTCTTGTAAATTGGAAAAACATTTTAGCACTTATGTTAGTCTAAAATACTATTTGATTGCTTTTGGCTGAGTCAATCCTCCCTGTTTGTTTGTTTGTTTTCTTACTTAATTTTGGACCCTTTGGAAGAAGGTTCTTAGTCTATTTTTTTCCCCTTAGGCAATGTGGCTCGGATACCCTGGCACTAGTGGGGCGCTTTTCATGGATTATATCATCACTGATCAGGAAACTTCACCAGCTGAAGTTGCTGAACAGTATTCTGAAAAACTGGCTTATATGCCACATACTTTCTTTATTGGTGATCATGCTAATATGTTTCCTCATCTGAAGGTAGGTAGAAAAACAGTGCTATGGGGAATTGCAAAGAACTGTAGTCATTTATTTTCTTGCTAGTGTCCCTATGCATCCTAAATGACATGTCTGAAACTTTTTTCTTCTGAAACTTTTTTCTTCTGATTAGAAAAAGGCAGTCATCGATTTTAAGTCCAATGGGCACATTTATGACAATCGGATTGTTCTGAATGGCATCGACTTGAAAGCATTTCTTGATAGTTTACCGGATGTGAAAATTGTCAAGGTCAGGACCTGGTCAATATTGTCATTGAAATAAAGTTAGTTATCTGCATTTGGGATCTTTTCCCTAATGATACATTTTGTGCCATTTTTTTTTTAAAGATGAAATGTCCTGATGCAGGAGATAATGCAGACAGCAGTAATACAGCTCTTAATATGCCAGTTATTCCTATGAATACTATTGCAGAAGCAGTTATTGAAATGATTAACAGAGGACAAATTCAGATAACAATTAATGGATTCAGTATTAGCAACGGACTGGCAACTACCCAGGTGAGAAGAGAATAATAGAGCATAATATGTACCACCAGGTATACATTCACCTCATTGAAATCTCATAACTCTAGCAGGTAAGCATAATTATCCCTGTTTTATAGATGAGGAAATGAATTCAGTGGAAATTGGCATCTTAAATAGGTTTGTTTGATTTTAAAATCACCTGGATTCAGCCAGTAGGTTATACTAGTGAGGGTCTATTGTGTTCATATCTTGTTATTTCCTTCTGTGGCTTTATTCTTAACAATGATGAACTTGGTTCTGTAACTAACTTATCCTTTCCCTAGTTAATTCTTACTCATCTTTAAGACTTTCAGTTCAAAGAGCTCCTCCAAGAATCTGTTCCTGTCTTTATCCTCAGATTTCTTTGGATAAATATCCAGAAGAGGGATTGCTGGGTCATATCGTAGTTCTATTTTTAATTTTTTGAGGAGCCTCCATACTGTTTTCCACAGTGGGTACACAAATTTACAATTCCACCAACAGTGCCTGTGCATTCCCTTTTCTCTACATCTTCACCAACACTTGTTTATTGATTTATTGATAATAGCCATTCTGGCAGGTGTGAGGTGATCTCTCATTGCAGTTTTAATTTCTATTTCCCTGATCCCATTGTATATTGTAACCTCTGTAATATTTGGATATATCTTTATATCCAGTGTGATACATAATTCCCTGGTTTTGTATTCTCCACTGAATTGAGTACTTGTGTCTTAGCAACAATAATGTAATATGTGCTCAATAAATATATAATGCATACTTGAATAAGTGAATATGTAGCTTGGTCACAAGATCATAAGGCAAAGATCTCTGACCTCTTAGGAGTTAAAATTTTTACTTGTACATCATTTTATACCAACGGTGCTCAAAATGAACTCTTTGCTCACAGGCCAACTCCTTAATAAGGAGGTAAAGGAATTAATAATAATCGCTTACTGTGTCTATTGAGCTAAAAAGACAGTGTTGTGTTCTTTTTCCCTCTGATTACCTGGTATTGGAAACACTAGAGCAGACATGTTTGACTTAAAAGTATAGGTGTGTGTTTTTTTTTGTTTTTCTTTTTTTGTGTGTGTTTCATTTTTTCCCATCACCATTTATCCCTTCTAATCCCTCTTCCATCTCCACCCTCCTTGCAATCACCACACTAAAGTACAGTTGAAATGCACAGTGACAGAATTTTGAGTGTAGAACACAATGCCCATATGTATGAAATGGCCTTACACACAGGAATAAGTTACATAACAATGTAAGGCAGTACTCACATGTGGGAATTACAAGGTAAGATTATAATTGGGTATATAGGTACTCAGTAATGGATCAATGTGGGGAGAGGCAGTCTTAGTAAAGAATGTTTGGAGGAATAATTTAAGTTTAGCCTTAAAGGGTGTGTTTCATTTAGAAAAGGACATTTCATTCATGAAGAAAAGAGTAAGCCAAACATGGCTGTTGGATTAATAGGGTTTTGAAAGTAACTTTTTGGACAGAGTGAAAAGCTTTTATAGTGCATCACGCACGCCCCCCCCCCTCCCCCCCTCAACACACACACCAAATTAAGATAATGTTATAACTTTTTTCTTTTTAACTTAATATGTCATGAATATTTTATAGGTCAGTGACGTGACTCTTGACAGCAATACCATTTTGCACATTAATTCTTCACTGATTGAAAAAATATCGGACTATGTTGACTTTAAGTATAATCATTGTATTCTTTTTCTTGTTCTAGATCAACAATAAGGCTGCCACTGGAGAGGAGGTTCCCCGTACCATTATTGTAACTACACGTTCTCAATATGGTTTGCCAGAAGATGCCATTGTCTATTGTAACTTCAATCAGTTATATAAAATTGACCCTTCTACTTTGCAAATGTGGGCAAATGTGAGTTTATGTAGACTCGTTATTAATATGTAAAGACTGGGAAAGATTTGGTATACAGGTCATCTTGCTGAGACTGCCTCCCACCTTCATTCATGAGTGGCTGTGCTCATTTCTGCTTTTTTTAAAAAAATTTATTTCCAGTTACAGTTGGCATGCAATATTATATTATTTCAGGTGTAAAACATAGTAATTAGACGTTTATATACCTTATAAAGTGATTGCCCCAATAAGTTGAGTACTCATCTATTGACTATATTCCTGTGCTGTGATTTACACCCACATGGCTATTTTTGTAACTGGCAATTTGTACTACTTAACCCCTTTCACAATTTTTTCACCCATTCTCCCAACCCCCTCCTACCTGGTGACCATCAGCTTGTTCTTTGTATCTGTGAGTTTGTTTCTGTTTTCATTTATTTTGTTCTTCAGATTCCACATATAAGTGAAGTCATATGATACTTCTTTCTCTGACTTATTTTACTTAGCATAATACTCTCTAGGTCTAGCAATGTTGTCACAAATGGTAAGATTTCATTCCTTTTTAATGGCTGATTAATATTCCATTTTAGATATGTATGGTATCTTTTTCTAATCATCTATTGATGGGCACTTAAGCTGCTTCCATATCTTGGCTATTGTATATAGTGCTGCAGTGAACATAGGGGTACATATATATTTTCAAGTTAGTGTTTTGGATTTCTTCTGATAAATACCCAGAAGTGGAATTGCTGAGTTATATGGTAATTCTATTAAAAATTTTTTAAGGACCCTCCATACTATTTTTTATAATGACTGCACACCAATTTGTAATCCCATCACAGTGCATGAAGGTTTCCATTTCTCCACATCCTTGCCAACACTTGTTGTTAGTTGGTTTATTGATATGGCCATTCTGACAGATAAAAGGTGATATCTCATTGTGGTTTTAATTTGCATTTCCCCAATGATTAGTGATGTTGAGCATCTTTTTATGTTTTGTTGGCCATCTGTATGTTCTCTTTGGAGAAATATCTGTTTAGGTCCTTTGCCCAATTTTCAGTTGGATTTCTTGTTTTCTTGGTGTTAAGTTGTATGAGTTCCTTACATATTTTAGATATTAACTTCTTTTTAAAAAAATATTTTTTATTGATTTCAGAGAGGAAGGGAGAGGGAAAGAGAGATAGAAACATCAATGATGAGAGAGAGTCACTGATTGGCTGCCTCCTGCATGTCTCATATTGGGGATCGAGCCCGCAACCTGGGCACATGCCCTTGATCGGACTCGAACCCGGGACCCTTCAGTCCACAGGCTGATGCTCTATCTACTGAGCCAAATCTGCTAGGGCTAGATATTAACTTCTTATTGGATGTATCATTGGTAAATATATCTCATTCAGTAGGTTGCATTTTTGTTGATGGTTTCCTTCTCTATGCAAAAACCTTTTAATTTGATGTGGTCCCATTTGTTTATTTTTTTCCTTTGTTTCCTGTGCCCAAGGAGACAAATTCAAAAACATTGCTACAAGCAGTGTCATGGGGTTGACCGCATGTGTGTTCCGAACTCTAGGAGTTGTATTGTTTCGGGACTTTAATCCATTTTGAGTTTATTGTCTCTTGTATAGAAAGTGATCTAGTTTCATTTTTCTGCATGTATCTGTGCAGTGCTCCCCACACCATTTTTTAAGAAACTTTCTTTACCCTGTAAGTATTGCTTAGGCTCTGTAGGATGCTTTGGGGAGTAATGGACATTTTAATAATGTTAAATGTTCCTACCCATGAGCATGGTACATGCTTCAATTTATTTGTCGTCTTCAGTACCTTTCTTCAATGACATAGTTTTCCAAGTATTGGTTCTTTTTTGTTGTTAACTCTCACCCGAGAATATCATTTTTCCATTGATTTTTAGAGAGAGTGAAAGGGAGGGGGAAGAGACAGAGAGAGAAACATTGATGTGAGAGAGACACATTGGATTCGTTGCCTCCCACATGCACCCTAAAACCAGGGCTGGGCATCGAGCCTGCAGCCAAGGTACGTTCCCTTTGCCTGAATTGAACCCGAGACTTTTCAGTCTGCTGGCCGATACTCTATCCACTGAGCCAAATTGGCTAGGGCCCAAGGATAGGTTCTTTACCTCCTAGGTTAAATTTATTCCTAGACTGTGAAAAAGAAGGATCTCTTACGCTTTGAGACAGCATGGAGGGACCTGGAGAGTATTATGCTAAGTCAGTGGTTCTCAACCTTCTGGTTCTTTAAATACAGTTCCTCATGTTGTGACCAACCATAAAATTATTTTCGTTGCTACTTCATAACTGTAATGTTGCTACTGTTATGAATCATAATGTAAATATCTGATATGCAGGGTGGTCTTAGGCGACCCCTGTGAAAGGGTCATTTGACCGCCAAAGGGATCGCGACCACAGGTTGAGAACCACTGTGCTAAGTGAAATAAGCCAGTCAGAGAAAGACAAATATCACATGATCTCATTCATATGTGGAACCAATGAATAAAATAAACTGATGAACAAAATAGATCCAGAGACATAGAAGCATGGAACAGACTGATGAATCTCAGAGGGAAGGCAGGGTTGGATGGGTGAGTGGAGAGAGATTAACCAAAGAACTTACATGTGTACTAGAGGCCCGATGCACGAAATTCATGCAAGAATAGGCCTTCCTTCCCTTGGCTGCTGGTACCAGCTTCCCTCTGGCACCCGGGACCTGGGTTTCCCTTGCAGCCCCAGCTTCCTCCGGAATGTCATCCGGTCTGATTAGCATATTACGCTTTTATTATTATAGATGTGCATAACCCATGGACACAGACAATAGTGTGGTGAAGGCCTGTGGGTGTGGGGATCCAGGTGCAGGGTGAAGGGGGTCAATGAAAAAATGGGACATCTGTAATAAATATAAATTAAAGATAAAGATAAATTTTAAAAATACAACAGCAAAAAAGATAAAAAAATACAAACCCTACCCAGTTTGGCTCAGTGGGTAGAGCGTCTGCTCGCAGACTGAAGGTCCCGGGTTCGATTCCAGTCAAGGGCACGTACCTTGGTTGCAGGTTCCCTGGCCCTCGTTGGGGTGAGTGTGAGGGACAACCAATCAGTGTGTCTCTCTCACATCGATGTTTCTCTCTGTCTCTCCCTCTCCCTTCTACTCTCTCTAAAAATCAATGGGAAACATATCGTCAGGTGAGGATTAACAAAAAAACAAAACAAAAAATACAACAACAAAAAAATTTATTCCTAGGTATTTTTTATGCAATTGTAAATGGGATTATCTTCTTAATTTCTCCTTCTGATAGTTTATTATTGGTGCATGAAAATGCAGCTGATTTCTGAATATTAATTTTGTATCCTGCTATTTTACTGAATTCATTCAATTCCAGTAGTTTTTTGGGGGACTCTTTAGGGATCTCTCTATATAGGATCATCTCATCTGAAAATAATGACAGTTTTACTTCTTCCTTTGCAATTCGGATGCCTTTCTTTTTTTCTTTTCTCACTGCTATGGCTAGGTCTTCCAATACTATCCTATATAATAAAAGACTAATATGCAAATCAACCAAATGGTGGAACGACCAGTCGCTATGTCGTGCACTGACCACCAGGGAGCAGATGCTCAATGCAGGAGCTGTCCCCTGGTGGTCATTGTGCTCCCACAAGGGGAGCGCCTCTCAGCCAGAAGCCAGGCTCACGGCTGGTGAGCGCAGCAGCAGTGGCAGGAGCCTCTCCTGCCTCCGTGGCAGTCAGACATCTGCCGAGGGCTCCTGGACTGCAAGAGGGTACAGGCTGGGCTGAGGGACCTGACCCCCCTCCCCCTGAGGGCACGAATTTCGTGCACTGGGCCTCTAGTATTGAATAAAAGTGGTGAAACTGGGCATCCTTGTCTTGTTCTTGATCTTAGAGAGAAAAAGCTTTCAGCTTTTTACCATTGAGTATGATGTTATCTGTGGCTTTGTCATATATGGGCTTTGTTATGTTGAGGAATGTTCACTCTATTCCCACCTTGTATATATTGATATGATCATATATTTCTTATCTTTAATTATTTTATGTGTTGTGTCACAATTGATTTGTAGTATTGAACCAACTTTGTGTACTGGGAATAAATCCCACTTGATTATGGACTCTGATCTTTTTAATGGATCATTGAATTCAGTTGCTAATATTCTGTCAAAGATTTTTACATCTATGTTCATCAGGGATATTGGCCCATAATTTTCTTTCTTTCTTTCTTTTTTTTTTTTGTAGTGTCTTTGTCTGATTTTGATATTAGAGTAATGCTGGCCTTGTAAAATTTGGGGAGAACCATTCCTTCTCTGTAATAGTTTGAGAAGCATAGGTGTTAAGAAATGTTTAGTAAAATTTACATCCAAAGTCATTTGGTCCAGGGTTTTGTTTGCTGGGAGTGTTTTGATACTGACTTCATTTTGTTAGTAGTTATTGGTATGCTCAGATTTTGTTTCTTCTGGATTCAGACTTGGAAGATTGTAAGTTTCTAGGAATATATCCATTTCTTCTAGGTTATCCAATTTGTTAGCATCTATATATATAAAATCCTAAGCGACTGTCTGACTGTTCAACCGGTAGCTATGACATTCACTGACCACCAGGGGGCAGACGCTCAACACACAGGCATGGAAACATGGAATAGACTGATGAATCTCAGGGGGGAGGAGGGTGGGCAGGAAGAGATTAACCAAAGATCTTACATGCATACTAGAGGCCCAGTGCACGAATTCCCTCAGCCTGGCCTGTGGGAATCAGTCCAGTATCCCCCGAGGGGTCCCGGATTGTGAGAGGGTGCAGGCCAGGCTGAGGGACCCCACTGGTGCACTGGGCCTCTAGTATTCTTATAATCCTTTGTATTTCTGTAGTGTCACTTCTCTTTTAAATCTTTTTTTTTTAACTGTTTATTCTAGGTCACACTTTTTTTTAAATAAGGTTTTTTTAAATTGATTTTTAGAGAGAGAGAGAGTAAGAGAGAGGAATTGATATATAGAAACATCAATGAGAGAG